GTGGGCAGCTGCTATCAGGTATTTCAGGCCCAAGAGGCTCAAGCCGGGCTAATAATTGGCTGGGGAAGTTTCGGCAAATACCTAAGGCAGGTGCTGACGGAAGCTGTGCCGCTGAGTCAGTTGCCAGTGGACTTCCCTGCTGCAGTCAGAGGAACCGGGGCCTGCTTTGTAGCCTGCAAAAACGAGCGTCATAACTTGTCCCGAAATCCCTGTACTCCCCTTGTGGTTTCAGCTGAGGGCCACGTCACTTGGGCTTTTTATTGTATTACTGACTCCTATCTGCGATTGCTGCATCCTGCAAAATAATTTTGTGATGTTTCCCGGCTCCCGCTTAGGCAGTTTTCAAATTTATTTCCCTCCTGGGAGGATGCTTTCTTGTTCCTTTCCCCAATTTTTACCTGTCTCTGTGTCCATATAACACTGAAGTATACCCTTAACCTTGCTTGAGATTCAGCTGTGTCACACAGGGGCTGAGCAGTTTCCTAGGGTGGATTTAAATCCATCGGGACGTAGAGAGTCTCAACACCCTGAGCTCTGTACCATCCTGCGCACAGAGGTGATGTCGTCATGACACCCCATGGCTGTGCTGCCATTAATGGCTGCACCTCCACCACCACCTCTTGGCATTTTCTGTAAGGGACCGTGATGACAAGGGCACCACCGTTTTTTGACATGGATGTTGTTCGCACTCACACCCCACCTAGGGATGACTCGACTCACGTTGGAAATACAGTCCCTTCCCAGCTGCGTGCCCTAGACTCCCTTATACTGGCAGCAATCAAAATATAAAGTGAATTCTTTACCCCTGAAGAGTAAACACGCTGCAAATGTGCTTCCTCTTGAGAAAGTTCATAGAATAATTTGGGTTGGAATCAAGCTGTGGGGGTCACCTGGTACCAGTCCTGCACAAAGCAGGATCCCCTTCGGCCTCAGACCCCTTCAGCTGGGCTGCTCGGGGTGACGCCAGTGCTCAAATAAGCACTGAAGTGTAGTAACTGTGGCCATTTGTCTTTGGATCCTGCAGAAAATCTGGATCCTGGTACTAATCTTTAAGTACCACACATTTTGTTCAGTTACGTCTTACTGTGTATTGTCATAAACGAGAGTAAAAATTTAATCACTAACCAGAACAACTCTCCCAAACTTGGCTTCTGCTGTGCAAGAAAGCCATCGACACGCCGTTCAAAAGTAATTATTTTTATTTCAACTCTATAAAGTATACAACAGGCACTCAGCAATTACAGCTGCAAGGAAAATACAGAGCAAAACAAAAGCAGTTAAAGTTTATGAAAAAAAGTTCTTAGATCTACATCAAAAGACTGCAACCGGCTGACGACCGGTGGATGACCGACATTTGTCCGACAAACAAAACCTCTTTCATGTAAGAAGAAAAATAAGAATATAAACCAAAGGGCTAGTGTAAAAACAGCTAGTGTAAATTGGGACTTGGGACGACAGGCAACTCCAAACAAAAATTTCCCCTTTTGCCGGTAAAGCCCTAAAACCGCCCAAGTCTCAGCATTATGGCTGGTTTACGCGGCTGGGGAGCTGTGGAGGATGAGGAGCTTTCAGCTTTCCAGCTCAGCTCTGCGGGAGCACCGAGGGCTTGCCTCCGTGATGCGTTGCATATAGAAGGAGTCGGGGGAAAGCACGGATCCTGTTTTGTTTAGTGGTGCAAATGAGCTATGCCTGGTTTCAGGTCAAGGTCAAAAAACGCAGGTCGGGTTGCACACCGAGTCACTCATCTTTTTTTTTTTTTTCCGGGTGGGAGATTTCTAAAGGGGTTCATGTAAGACGGGAGGTTGGCGCTGGATGGCACGATGGGTTGAATCTGCACAGCTTAGCAAAACAGGAATACCTGTCTACGGAGTGATAGGATGTCATATATTAATTTGACCCGCACATAACATTTATACATTTCACAGAAATGACTCTGTATCTCATTAACAGATACACAGCTCTGGTACACTGAACAGAAATAAGAGAACGACTTCATCATTTCTGTAATTCATCAATATTATATAATAAAGGCTTAGAAATTGGTAGCAGAAAGAACTGTAAAACGCAGCAAGCTAAGAAAGGACGACATCTTGAGGTGTGTTTGTCTTTGTCATGCAGCATAACATCAAATTTGTATTTTTTTTTTTATAGGATGCCATGGATTTAAGGCACTTGCAACAATGCCAGATAGCTAGTCATGTTCTAAAACTAGGGGACAGATGAGTTAACAGTACAGTTGACATAAAGTTTAATAATACTGACAATTATGACATTAATTCAAGTCTACCTTGATCTAAAAACATTACATTACAGATAAGAAAATGAAGTAATAATGCCATGGAACACTAAAAGAAAAAGTTATATGTGTACCACAAAATATCCACACGAAAATACCTATTTACATAAATACTCGCTTGTGGTCCTGTTGTTAAATAAGAGTTTGCTATGGTTAATGCAGCACTGTGAGAAGCTACGGATCATCTGTGTCTTAACGACCCCGATCTTAATACACTTGTTTTAAACACAAGAGCTGATTTCCCCTTAGGTAAATAAGCTGTTGTCCCATACATTAAAAAAGAAGACAAAGAAGAAAGGACAGTAAGTGGAAACACAGAGGCAATTCCTTGTTGTGAATATATATATATATATAATGCAACTAAATTAATTACTTATAAATGAAGGCATTTATCTTATACATGTGCTAAGTATGTTGTTTAAAGTATGCTTAGGAAAGGTGGTGAAAGTCAAGTGAGGTGTCTGATGTCAAAATAAACTTATATTCGGTACAGTACATGCCGCACGCTGCAGGTATTAATCACTGTGCTTGGCACAAGGACAAAGGGACAGGAAGAAAGAAAAATAACTCATCAGCCCATTTTAAAACCTTCTTCCCCTAACATTTTCGGGTTGCCCCCCAAAATCATTGTGACCCTCTTCCCTCTCGGCAGCCCCTTGACTGACAACTGCACCTCAGCTCTAAATATCATCATTTTGGGACAAACTCCTCTCTATGTTCTTCTATAGAAAGTTACCAACTGCAACAAGTTTACTCCTCCAATGTCACTGCATCGTTGAGTGAAAAATCCAGGGGGATGCAAGTAAAGAATTCGGCTTTCAGGCAGCAGCCTGTTCGCTAAGATGCCTAGCAATTATTTCAGCCCTAGTATTCAGCATTGGCTTTCAGTGTCTTCCGTCCCGCAGATAAAGGCTGAAGAGTGAGTGTGTATTTGCCTTATATGAGTAATTCCCAGAAGACACAGTTACTGTCTTTTCCCTATGGTTCTGAAAGCCAAGGTTTAATGATTAATGAATGGTGGAAATAACCTGAAGTCACTGTGGTGACAATGTTGCCTCACGCTTTGGAAAATGACGAAGGAAATTCAGCCACACAGACTGGTTTCAAAGGTGTGGCGATGACCAAGCTCATTAGTTTGCTGGCAACAGCAGGCATTGTCCATGCTGTCACAGGAGGGGAGAAAATACCTTTTTAATACACTCTATTAAGTCACTTTAATTAGGAACACGAAAAAAAAGGGATTTAGCATCAGGGAAAGAATATTATACTGTTAAAACATGTATTTTCCATGTACTATGTAGGCAAAAGTCATATGAATGACTTTTCAGTGAAGTTGATCTTTTGACTTCCAGCATATACAAGAGCTCTTGGCAGCTCTGAGATGAAATGGGGCAGCACCTGCTAATTTTTTGGGGCAGGGTCTGTTATAGAGACTGAAAGGTGATGTTTCTTGTCAGTATGATGGGGTAAACTTTTAGTCCTGTGTCTATGCAGGCATCCAGGACAGGACTCCTCCTTTGTGTTCTATAAATCAGAAGAGATGGTACTCAAGCACAGTAAAAGCAGTGGACGTGAGGGAAAAGTGTACACACGATAATACCGTTTTCCCCAGCTCTTTTTCCATACGAGCCAACTTGGATCTAGCCATTCCTGTGCCTTAAACTGGGGACCTGGTACACTGGAGACACATCCAATGGATAGGACATGATTCAATGGGCATGGGGGTGTTGGGCTGACAGTTGGACTTGATGATCTTGGAGGTCTTTTCCAACCTTAATGATTCTATGATTCAATATCAGTTTTCCATTTAATTCCACTGACTTGCCTGTGGAGCTCCTTAGTCTGATGAGACATTAGGATTCATTTTTATGGGCAGTATTACAAACAGAGCCAGCAAACTGGCCCAGTACCACCTTTTATTTTAATTAATTGATTTTGTACTAAGAACAGAAGAGATGCAGACACGGAGATGTAAAATCATCTAAGAGCGTGACTGGAGAACAACGCCTCTTGCTACATATTTCTGAAATGGTGGTTGACTGAATAGGTATGTTCACAGATGAGGGATGCACATAGCACCTATAAAGTACATTATGGGTCTTCCATTTTACCTTTGGGTTCTAAAAAGGTAAAAGTTAAGCTTAGTTTTATGCCCAATAGCTATTCAATAAGACCAGTGGGCTGCTGTCGCTTTGTTACAGGATCATTATTTAAGCATTATTTTATACATAAAATGGATTAATTTTATGATCTTTTTTTCATGCAGTTATGTATTTGTACCAAGGGAAAGGAACAAAACTCCAAACATCGTGTTACACTATGTTCTCAGCAACCCATATCTGTCTTAACAGGATCTAGAGCAGTTGTGCTTTTGTTTTACCAGGCTAAAAAAAAAATTCTCAAAATTAATGAGAAAAGGTAACATTCAGTCTTGTCATGACTACTGCTTGGAAAGAAAACCGACAAATTTTACCACTGCTTTGACATGAACTCTTTGACCAGTACCATTGTGGTCCTCCTTTGCTCCTACACTGGCCTACAGCAGAAGACCTACGGAGTTCGCAGGGTGGGAGTGGCCCAAATCTTGCACCGTATTTAGCTACAGCACTTAATAAATTACTATTGAACCTACTGATAAAGCCAGTACCTTGCAGCTAGAATTAAGTGCGTCTTACACTATGTATCTCTTGACTTTTATAATAAAGAGCGCAGCATGATCGTTGCGGTAATAGAAAACATATTTCTTTACTGGTGAAAGGCTTTGTGTCAGGACCACCATGTCAACTGCTATTTTAAGTTTGAACATAAAACATGAAGAGCACTATTGTCATCTAAGCAATAAGTCCTAATGCCACTATAGTTACTGTAGCAGCATCAATCAAGGCATCATGGTGACCCCGAGCACTAATCCTCCCCAGTTCTTTCGCTTTCGCTGGCAGCCACGTCCCAGGAAGCTGTCTTCAGCAAGGCAGAAGCAGGTAAGAGAAATACATTAAAAATCTATGTCCCATCCTGAGTTGTCATCAGGGGGTGGTTCATCACTGTCCTCTGGGAAGCTGTCAAAATTGCTTGTGTCTGTTGGAGATGCAACCTGCGGAAAGAAGAGAGTGACAAGAAGGGGATGGTCATCAAAGTGGACTTCTGCAGACATTTCCGCTTGATTTCACAACTGTGATCATTCAGTAGCATTCATTGCTAACTGCAGCAAGCAAGAATCACAGAACGGTTTCAGTTGGAAGGGACCTTAAAGACCACCTAGTTCCAACCCCCCTGCCATGGGCAGGGACACCTTCCACTAGACCAGGTTGCTTCAAGCCCCATCCAGCCTGGCCTTGAACACTGCCAGGGAGGGGGCAGCCACAGCTGCTCTGGGCAACCTGTGCCAGTGTCTCACCACCCTCACAGTAAAGTTACTTCTTCCTAATAGCTCATCTAAATCTCCCCTCTTTCAGTTTGAAGCCATTGCCCCTCATCCTATCACTACAACCCCTGATCAAGAGTCCCTCCCCACCTTTCCTGTAGCCCCCTTTCAGTACTGGAAGGCCACTAGAAGGTTTCCGCAGAGCCTTCTCTTCTCCAGGCTGAACAACCCCAACTCTCTCAGCCTGTCCTCACAGGGGAGGTGCTCCAGCTCCCTGAGCATCTTTGTGGTCTCCTCTGGACCCACTCGAGCAGGTCCGTGTCTTTCTTGTGTTGGATGCCCCAGAGCTGGACACAGCACTGCAGGTGGGATCTCACCAGAGCAGAGCAGAGGGGGAGAATCCCCTCCCTCGACCTGCTGGACACGTTGCTCTTGGTGCAGCCCAGGGTGCTATTTGCTTTCTGGGGGGCGAGCGCACATTACCGGGGCCTGTCCAGCTTTTCATCCGCCAGCACCCCCACGCCCTTCTCGGCAGGGCTGCTCTCAATCCCTTCATCCCCCAGCCTGTTTTGATACCCGGGATTGCCCCGACCCAGGTGCAGGACCTTGCATTCGGCCTGGGCCCACCTCTCCAGTCTCCCTTCCCTCCAGCATGGCGACCTCACCACTCAGCTTGGTTTCGTCAGCAAAATTGCTGTGGGTGCACTCGATCCCACTGTCCCTGTCGCTGACATAGATGTTAAACGGCACCGGTCCCAATACTGACCCCTGAGGAATGCCACTCATCACTGGTCTCCACTCAGACTTGAGCCGTTGACCGTGACTCTTTGAGTGTGACCATCCAGCCAATTCCTGATCCACCAAGTGGTCCATTCGTCAAGTCCATGTCTCTCCATTTTAGAGTCAAGGATGTAGTGCAGGAAAAGTTGTGAATTCTACAACTTTTTGCTGAGTCTCTGGAAATCTTCCCACAGTCCCCCTGCTCTAATGATTCAGGCCCTCTAGGGTCTCTAGTTCAAAAGCAACTGTCCTATCTGTTGGTACAAGGTCATCAGAAAAGACGGAAAAGCCCTGGGAGTCCCCAAAGCTGGATGCTGCTATAAGCCTTGGGAAAAGACTTATTTGATCAACAAGAGCTCCAGCTTCAGCTCTAAATTTAATTTGCTGTCCAGCTGCATCAGCATTTTCCTGCTGCCGAAAACATCTTGGGGAAATTACAATTCTTGAATATCCAACTCATTTTGAAAAAAAACAAATCCGTAAAAGTTTAGTGGAATACTACAGAGTGATGAGATACTTCACTGTGTACTGAATACTATAATTTAATGTCTTTTGAGTTATCTGGATCATTTACTTTGTTGGTGCTTCTTCACCATTCCGGTCCTCACCCTTGGGGTGCTCCACACTCACTCTGCTCCATGGTGCCATGGGCTGGAGCACAGCCCCCTGTTTCTCTCAGACCATGCCATGTGAGCTCTCTCTCTGGAAGCAGGCAGCAGAAGTGTTGGGGAAGTATGTACAGGATACCAGCTACCAAAGGGTAAGAGATGCAGTCGGGTGTGGCCACCCACAGAGAACGCGCCTGAGCTGGAGCTTCTTGTGAAAGCCTCTCAGCAGTGATTGACAATGCCTGAGTGGACTGCCCTGGGTGAAAGCATCTATGGAGCTCCCCAGGGCTCCTCTGCAGATGTCTACTCTGGGAGCACCTAGAAGGGCAGGAACTTTTTTTGAGCCCTAGTTAGATGAGGCTACAAGGGAAATAAGTCCTGTTTTGGGAAATGGATTGCCTTTTGTGTTCATCTGACGAAACAAAAAGGCTGAGTATATCCAACACCTCAAATGCAGAGGGTTTTCTTTTTCTTAGAAGAAATATGATTTGGGGAAAAAAGATTGGATGAGTTGTTACTCTGCTGATTGATGTTATATGATGCTAATGCTGTTGTGTGAGATTCCTCACAGCTCTGAGGCCCAGGTCATCTATGTGGCCTACAGTCCTTCACTGTCAGAGACATGGGAACAAATGTCCCTCTCAGCGCCCTCTCTAGCCAAGAAAGGACACCCTAGATTTATCTCCTGTCCATCCAGGAAGAGAAGTGCAAACATCAGTATCAGTTCTCTGGCTGCTTACCGACATAAGGGCTTGAGATGAATTATGATTCAGAGATCTGTAGGTCTTTCTCAAAGGCAAGAGCTGTGATGCAAGTCTTTGGAACAGTCAAGAGGCAGGAGTAGCTTTCAAGGACAGCTACCATCACAGATTTCAGCAGTGGTATCAAGGCTCAGCTGCTCCCTGAAGCAATGTCCTAGCAGCACGCTGTAAATTGAGATCCTTCCTAAAAATCCCATGGAATAAGAGCAGCTTTTTATTGCCTCACTAGCAGTACCATGTAACTGCTAACGAGGGTTAAAGGGCTTTTTATATAAAAAAAAAGCTAGTATTTATGTTTAGCCCTCCTGGCTCCTTTACAGCTAACAAGGAGAGGTGCAATGACTGAAGGAAAAATAGGTTTCTTCGCACAGAGCTATGCAGGTATTTTGGGTCCCTTTTCAGATACGGCTCTTACTGGCAGTTGGGACTTTTGCCAAAGCAATTGAAAAACTTGCAGAAAACAAGGCTGAGTGGGACTGACAGCCTTGGGGTTGGCAAAATTCACTAGTTAATGGAGGCAGGTTTTGGAGAGGATCTCAGGAGTACATCTAGAAAAGATACTACTCTTAAGAGCTCTAGGAAAGAATGAGCTGTGTTGAATTTGGCTTAGGGAAATGTACGGCTGTCATCACTGAGTTGTCCTGGAAGAGGGATTCCTCTAGAAGAGAGAAAGATGCTCCCACCTACTTCAAAATAGCCTTGAAGGCGGTGTGCTGGCCAAAACGGTGACAGCGGATCACTCTCTCGGGAGCTATCACAGGCACGTTCCCTGGTAGACATCACCAGACCCACAAACATACAGCCTCGATGACGTCAAGAAGTTACGCCAACAAAGTGAACTCGGTGCTCACACAACCCTGTTCTCCTAATGTGTTGGACCCAACTGAAAAAGCAAAGAAAACGTGACTTCCTGCACAACAGGCTGGAAAGTGGCCTCCCTCTAGGCAATGCCAAAGGAACAGAGACCATTTCTGATGGTGGAGCGATGTCCCAGCTTCAGGATGTCAGGGAGCCCATAGAGAGCAGATACTGCTGAAGTCACTGCTGCCGGTTGTGCTGTCTCAGGGTTAGACATGCAGGGTCTATACGAATATAGGGTAAAAGCAGTACTAAAAATGCTCTTACTAAACTAAAAATCCACTGAAAAAAATTAGAAAAAAACATATTGGGGCATTTTTCAGGCTACAGTGACATCCTACACAGGTAAACCCTGAATGGGGGGTAAATGGATACAAAGGACCAAACTTGACTTTATTGTCTGACTTCAAATGTGAACAGTACTGCTGACAAATTAATAGTAATTAAAAAGAAGCTTAACAGAAAAAACGCAGCTTTGATTTATAAAAAATTGATATGCTCTTGGGGCATCCTGCTTTAGGCAGATATTTGCAAAGTCCTGCTTTCTCCCACTGACTGCCAGTAACTTCCGCAGCCCACAGGACAAAAGGTAGGGATGCAAAACCCTCTTGCTCTTTCATAGGTGCTAAGAAAACTTTGGGATGGCAGATTTAGCCCCGAAGCCATGCCTGCCACTGCTGCAGGAGGTGCAGGACCATGGTTGGACAGAACAATGGGGTGCAATTAAACACGATTGCTAATGTCATTCTCTCAGTGATCCCATGGAAGAGGCACAGAGAGAAAGGGATTAAGTCGAAACAAGGAGGGGAGGCTGCAGAACAGAAGGGGCCAAGGTAATTTCTATCAGCTAATCCTGTTTGGCTTCCCTTTGTGGCAGGCTTTGTGGGTAAAGAGATCACAAAGACATCAAAGGAAGAGCTTTGCTCCAAAGGAAAATGAGTCGCGCTGTCCCTCCGCGTCTGCTCCCAGTTAAACATAAACTAGGCAGTAACAGGGCTTTTCATGTAGGACATGGATGCAGGGAAAAAAAGGGTGAAAAGCACAAAAGAAAAGACAGAAGGAAAGGTTAATGCAAAAGAAAAGGGAGATGGCATACAAATCCCACTTGCCTCGTCTAAAGAAGTAAGAATAAAGGAGAAAGAAAGAGGACACATCTGACAGAAGGGGTGAAAGTGGCAGTTCTCCACTGAAATGTGAAAAGTAGATAAAGAAACAAGTGGAGCAGGTGAGAAAGAGAAAAATGTGTAGTAGTGAGCGATCCTGCCCCAACCTCCTGCATTTCGTCGCAGTCATGCCCTCCCCAAACTGCCTTCTCCTGGAAGAGACTGCTCGGGGACCAAGTACAGCTGAAAATGTCTCTAATGTGACTTTTTCAAGCATCTTCAGAAGAAACAAAGCACATGCTGTCGCCATTTAATTCCACTGTATTAGTGCCTGAAGCTCACAACATTAATGTAAAAGAAACTTATTGTCGAGGAAGGAGAAAATAAGTAGGAAAACTTACACTTGGTATTATAGGAGGTGTCAGTGTCCCTTTTCGTAACCCTTCCCAGTTAAAGCCTTCAAACCATCTAGAAGGGAGGGAATAATGAAACAGTTAGACATATGGCGAAAATCTCTGTAGCACAAAATGAAATGTAAATGGCTTAAACAGTGGCTTTCAACTCCTGCAGTCATCTTCTTCAAATGGTCCAATCAGCCTTAATAATTTTTGCTGTCATCTTTTTATATGTTTTTCGGGACTGAAAATGAAGCACCTGTAGCAACCCAGTGGTGACACCATGGCAAATGCAAATTACCAATGCTCACAAGAAAACCGTTCCTCACTGCAGGTGTCCTCCCATATGAGACCCCTAATGTCCTTTCTTTGTATGAGATGGGGAGCTAAGGGCATGCACAGGGATGTCCTCCTCCTGGTTTGGGCACCTTGGGTTTGCTCAAGCTACAGTGGCTTAGGTGGGTGGATGAGCCCTGAGCTGAGCCTTCAAATAGTCCACCCAAAACATCTATCCAACCCATTTCTGTTGCTTTGGGGATGGGAGAAGAGAAGGACCCGCATGGATGGATGAGATAACCTGCTTCTGCAATGGGTCTTAATCTCCTCCAGCAGTGTGAAAACTTAGGAGACACCACTTAACAACTCTCTCCCATCAGACCAAAAGGGATGATGGATTAACATTATGGGTAGACAGAAAGTGTGTTGAGCATGGCAGGCGTGTGTGGGGCGGGGAAGGGAAATCAAAGAAAACCTCAGAAAGTGATTCATCAAACCAAAAGAAATCCAAGCAGGCAATGGTTGAGTCGGATTGCTTCCAAATGCTCTACTGCAATTGCAGTAATTAAAGTGTAATGGTCAAAGTGCAACGCATTTTGCTTATAGGCCAGGGTGGCACTGAAGCACTGGGAAAAAAAGTCTGATGGAAATTCAAGACTAAAGCAGACTAGAAGGGAAAGGCCAAAGGAGTTTAAGAAGAGTATTTTTCCTGAAAATTGATGTATTTTTCTGTGGGTTGGATCTGCTGGATGGTGGAGGAGATACTTACTTGTGCTTTTGGATATCTTTCACTCCATTTTTCAAGTTCCCTAATCTTTCTGATGGATTGTCCCTATAAAACAAATAACAAATCGGTTACTTTCTTAATCCTTCTGAATGATTAATTTCTTTGCAAATAAAATCAAGATGATTATATTTCATGCGCTTACCTGCATAGTTTTTTAATTAAATTAGCAGCGTTTTTGGCAATCTTCTTTGGAAATTCAATCATATCTATTCCCCTTAATATGATGTTATAGGTCTTCATGGGGTCTGGGCCTGAGAAAGGGGGACTTCAGAGGGGAGAGGAAAGGAAAAAGATTAAAAGCTTGTCTTTAAAATAGCATTGAAGATTGACAAAAAAACCAAACCAAAGCAAAACACAGTACCCTACTGAAACGAGAAAAAGTAGATGACAACTATCAGTGCTTTGCTTCCTCTGATCTTAACCATTTCTCAGCCAAGGAGCTTTGATACCGTCCGTGGTGGAGGGGTCATGCCAGGACATGCCAGGAAGCCACTACTGCCAACATGAGCAGTAACATATACATCCAAAACTACATAAGGGAAGGGATGGATACAGGGACGCAAGTCCTCATGGTGTCAGGTCTACCTCCTCCTTTCCAGATGTGTGGCAGCCCATCACGGCACCTCCTCAGTTAAACTGCAAACTCTTTCCAATCCCTTTTCTCACCATGTTCAGTTCACTCAGGGCCAAAAATGAGTTTTTGATGTCATTTCACAGCATTTCCTAAAAAGCCTGCTCATCTCTTGCCCTTTGAGATGTCTGCATGGAAGTGGTAATTTAAAGTGGAAAAAGTAATTACTAGGTTCAGTAGCACAGCGTTGTGTTGCTATAGCACACATCACCTCTGAACCTTCCCCTTGTCTAATCAGGGTGACAATGGCAGAAATACTCGGATCTATTTTCAGCAGTGGCGTCGGCCCCAATGCCCATACCTGCCAGTCAGGAGTTCATACATTAAGATTCCTAGTGACCAGTAGTCTGCCGAAATGTCATGACCTTTGTTCAGGATGATCTCTGGGGCTACGTACTCTGGGGTTCCACAAAAAGTCCATGTTTTCTTTCCAAATCCTATTTTCTTTGCAAAGCCAAAATCGACCTGTGGAAAGGAGCAGAGTACCATCAGGGCAGAGCACGAGAGGGAATGTCAGCCATGTGCTCTGCTCCTCTTGAAGTGAAGCAAAGCAGAAAGGAGGTTTCCTCGTGGGAATATTCTCCGAACTAAAGCATTGTGACTGTTCCAGGACCAGGCAACTGCAGTGACTTTTTTGCCAATTTATCCTTCGTAATACAAAAGGAAGATTCTCATGAGGGAAGACGAACAAAAGCTGGCACTGAGATTTTCTTGGGAGATGTAACTTCATATCACTCACAGCTCAGGTTGATTTGTTGTGCTTTCGTTTTGTTTCAAACTCCCAGACTTTACCTGAGCAAGCAACTATTTAGGCTAAATACTGACCATTTTGGCATCTACTGAAAAGTTCAGATTTCTGTCCCAGTATAGAGAACAATGCAGTACAAGTGTCCTCCCCATTCTCCGAATTTACTCGAGGCTGTTACAACGTGCTGTCAGGCTCATGAGCTTCAGCATGCCCCTGTAGCAGTGCCCCTATGGCACCGGCAAGCACAGAAAATCAGATTATACTGGAAACCAAAGCCATCCTTTGGGGCCCAGGCAGATCTCAGGTTAATAGGTCTACCGTATTTTTAGCTCTACCCCCTCTGCCTGCCCCTGCCTTGGCACTATGGTGTGTAGCACACTCTGCTGTCCCTTGATGGCTGTGAGATGCTCCTACGCCTTCACCTTGAGCTGGTCAGGAGTAAAATGTCCTACATGGTCACAGTCCACATGGGATACTTCTTGGGTGTGTCCACGAAGATCCAATGTCTAAGGACCTGGGGGCTGCTGATGGGACCAGCACAAACCCTGGCCCAGATCCTCCTGGGGTGGGGAGAAGGACAGTCCTGAACCTAATCCTTCACTATCATCTGACACCTCACTCCCCAGCCTTAGCGAAATGCTGTTAAAGGATAAACTCTGATGTCATTCACTAGGCTCAGTGTCCCAGTGACACGCAGTGGCTGCCACCAGGCCATAAAGGCCCATGATGGAGATGGTCTGACTTGCTGCTTCCACCTGCTGAGGCCACTCCCGAGTTCCCCTTCCCAAAGGCAGGGAAGAGTCCCCAAGCCAAGAGGCAGAGATCTTGCCCCCCCATGACTCTCAGGGAGGGCGTCAGCTCTTTTTAGGAGTGCATTGACCCACCCTTCACTGATGGCTTCCCAAGTGCCCACAACCTCCAGCACCTCCCACCAAGGGAAGTATTTCTTTTCTTCTCCTCCTGTCCATGGTCTCACCTGGCATTTGGGGTGTATCTTACATGCAGGGTATCTTTACAGTGATTTTTGAGACAAAAAAGCAATTTGAGTGAACAAAGCAACACAGCAAAACCCATCAGTAACTCCCTAATTTGGGGGGTGGAAGTCTTGCACACGCTGCCATCCTGGTTTGAGGAGTTGGATCTTGCAAGGGGACAGCGTCGAGAAGGACCATGACCTTCTGGGAAGAGCAGTTGCAGACAGAGCCTTATGCAGTCATCCCAGAGGAGTTTGCACAGATCAGTTGGGTGTGTTATTGGTGCTAAAACACAAGAACCTAAAGCAAGAAGCTGTATTTGCCACAGTTCATCGACACAGTCCAGAGCAATTAATAATAATTTCTTGCTGTGACAAGGTCATGATTAGTATTTCCATTAAGAATGTCTTTTACTATTGCTTACACAAAGAAGCTAACACAGAAACAGTAGCTTGTATGATTTGCTTCACCAATCGCCTATAAAGACCACAGAGGCAAGTCCTCCCCCTCTCTCACCAATATTTTAAGACACGTATTTTCAAGTTAATTTTCAGTCTTTCAGTAGCTCCAAAACAGCTGGATGGATTTCTCTTGATGCTCTTCCTCTAAAAATTTCCTCTTCAGGACCACAGATCTGAATTTCAAGCCAGAAATAGCGTTTCCCAGCTCAATTGGACCTGGAGCCTCAGTCTGCTGGAGGTTGGGAAAACATCCCAGTGGGTGACAACACCCTTGCCCTGATCTCATCTCACCATCTAGTGATGGCCACCATCAGAGACAGGACTCTGGGCTAAGCGACTTTGCTTCTGACCCGCTACGGCTAATCCTGCGTTCTCCTCTACTCCTAACAGCAGTTGTCTGGTAGTAGCGATGACTTTTTTTGGCAAAACCAGACATTGCAGGCACTCACCAGTTTGGCATAACCTCGGTGATCCAGAATGAGGTTTTCTGGCTTGAGGTCCCTATAAATGATCCCTTTGGAATGCAAATAGGCAAAAGCTTCGACCACGCACGCTGTGTAAAACCTGGTCGTCGAATCCTCAAACGAACCTCTATGTAAAATGAGAGAGGGAAAAGGGATACAGCGATTAGATCTCTACTGTTAAATTATCTATACAGTTCAGTAGAATCACTCTAATACCTGGAAAGTGCCTGTTGCCAAACTCACCTTCATATATAAATTTAATTGCATTTTTGAAGTTAGCATCTTTGCCTTCAATCCACCTTCATAGCAAACATTTGTATACAAAATATTTTAGGTTTTACTTTATAATTTAATCCCATAGAAGTAAAATTTACAAATCATTATCTTGCAAGCAAAAGGTGAGTTTTTTATTATAATCTTGGACTTTTGGGTGCTAAAGCTATTTTGAGCTGTGGAGATCAGGAATTCCCATACTAATATTCATAACCAAGACAAAAGGCAGAAAAATCACAGTTCCTGGAATCTGAAGTGTTGAATTGCAAATTCGGCTTAAACTGAACTTTTGGATCCTCGTTTCAGCACCAGTTTGCAACCAGATTTCCGAAGCAAACCACATCCCCCTGCCCGTCAGGAGCTGGCAGTGGGAGCTGGCTGAGTTCAGAAGCGTGTCTAAGCTAGGTGGCAGCAGAACCCCAATTTAAAGCCAAAAGAATTAAAGATGAAATTATCAGGTTCTGACAAAGACAATGAAAAATACAACCTGGCACCTGCTAACTTTGCTACAGTTCTCCTTTTAATGGTCCGGAGAACACTGTGACAAAAAGAAAGAATTAAAAAAAAATTGTTCTAGGTAATTAAAAAAGAATTTAATCTTTGCTTTCCGATCAACCTTCCCAATGCACTTGTTTTGCTTTCCAAATTTAATTAAATTATGTTCCAATTATGAGCCTATTACATAGTTACAGCAACTCACCACATCTCTTCCTGCCCCGCGGGTGTATTCCGTGCACGTCCCACTTACACCTGCGCAACCCACCTGCCACTTACTCACCCACAACCAAAACCAAACACTGCAAGGTCAAACCCTCCCAAGGCAGGAAATACCAGGACCACATTTGCTTGTGCATTACAGTGTGGTATGTAATTACATACTTTCCTAACTATTTTTTTCCATGGCACTTCTGCGTCCTGACAGTATAGTGCTCCTTGCAGGGTGTGGAGTGATGCACGATCCCTTTCCATACTTTGATGAGCGGCCCTCGTGTAATATGTGATATCTGGACTAAAAGCCTGTGCAGAACTATTGATTTCCTCCTGCTCATCGCTATCATACTTGACTGTGCCATAAATGCTAAGAAATATTAATAGACATTGTTTATCACATTTCCTCCCTGATTAAGGTGGATGTTGCTATTCACAGTTACAGAGGGTTGGCCACGGAGCAAAGACTGAGATGAAAAAAGCAGGTCTTTCTCTGGGATGGGAAATCGTGATTTTCCAGGTGACTTTGAACAAGTCTGCATTTTTTACCTTGAAAATGCACTTTCTCACAGATTTTGTTCACAACTGTGAAATTTCACTAATGCCACTGTCGCCTTAGGGCCTTTGTTTCTAGGTCCAGACTCTAAAATGGCCATGGCAACAATGCCTAAAGGTGCTGCACTGGAAGGATGCTACCTCTGGAGTGTGTCTTTCAGGAATGCAGCGAGACTGGCCTTGACATTGCACCTTCTGCAATGCCTGGCCGCACCCTGCAGGGTCATTCTCTGCCATCACATACATACGGTGCCCAAAGTCTTTGTCACTCTTAAAACAGTCCCACATTTCCCTCTCAGGTGCCTGAGCCTCCAGCCAAACGTGAGAAATGGTACTGTGGGCACCAAGGACACAATTGTAATTCCTGTTGCAAAACACTGTTGTTCTAGGCAATTAAAATGTAAATTAATTACTTACTTAATTAATTTTATTTACATTAAAATATGCTGTCGGCTATTTAGGGGTACCCTTTAGAAATGAAGACACACGGAATGGGCAGTCAAAAACTTGTTGTAGATGCTATTTATCACATGACTACCATTGCTACCATCACTACCTTCTCTTTTCAGAGATGCCATAACAAAGTAGCTCTGGATAAGTCTCCACTTATATAAAGCTTTGTACATGTTGGATACAACCCAAACCAGTCCTTATTCTCAGTTATAACTGGGTTGACTTTATCTCTAGACAATTGCACATGAACAAATATAGCTCCTCACCTTTCTGGGATCTTAAATCAAACAAGATCCAGATTTTGCCCAGGAAAGAGAAAGACTTTTGGCTATCTGGAGGTATATTAGAAAACATTCCACTTCGTAGGACAATAGTTTTTTACAACTCACCTGTCCCTGAGAATTGTCCATAGCTCTCCACCTAGACAGGCTTCCATCAGCATGTACAGGTACTTGCTGTCCTTGAACGTTCTGTAGAGCCTGTCGTCAGCAAATGAGACAATCATAAACAAATCCACAATACAAGCGAAGGCAATAATTGTTCTCACTTCTCATGGGCTGTGGGCTTCATCCCAGGAAGCACCACAAGACTAAGGTGAATCTTTCAGAGCTAGTGCTACATTTAAGGAGATCATTTCAATATCTTTTGTTGGGGGCGGGGGGGAAATTCTTCAGCAGAAAAGGATGGGCATCTGAGAGGTAAAGTGTATCGTGGACCTCAGAAGAACAGGACATCACTACTCTGGGTGCTACATATAAAATCTGCCATTTCTAATGGCATAACCTGACATGGCTTTCTAGACGTGATTGAAAGAGAAGTTTTCCTAACATTTTTTATAACATCCACATCACCTTATTCTTCACACTACAGAGTCTGGCTGCAGATTGTCAGTCTCCCTTCCATTTGATCATTCAAAACCTGTCTGGACACGTTCCTGTGTGACCTGCTCTAGGCTAACCCGCTTTGTCGGAGGAGTTGGACTAGATGATCTCCAGAGGTCCCTTCCAACTCCTACCATTCCGTGATTCTGTGTTTTCATAGGAGCGCTGCCCAGTCTGTGATTCATTTCAGAACTTAAATCCACTGATTTGGTAAAGTCTAAAGAGAACCCACTGACACGCAGGTATCTGAAAGTGCTCTTCATCTTCCTCCCAGGGACTGAACGTGGAAGAAAAATTGCCTAAACAAATAGATTGGCCAGGCTTTATGAACCCATTCTCTTTCTCAAGTGCAATCTAAATTGTGCAGTAAAACCTGTGCTCTGTGTTTAATATGATATATTAAACAAGGGGGACTATAAAATCGTAGAAATAAAAATAGGGAATTCAGTATTAGCTGTTTTACTTAATTTTAATGCTGAACTATTTAGTACTTCTTGTTACATGTGTGAGTATGTTGGTTCAGGTGGTCTGCAGGAACAACATATGCAGATACTGGAAAGGTTTCTTTGCAGCCGCACTATTTAGAAATTAATTTTAAAAATCTGAGCTTCACAGCAGAAGGGGATGCTGAGGATATTCTGTTTTGGTGCAATGGGAATTTCCAAAAGTTAAGAATTAAAGGGCTGATGCAACATGACATAAACTAAAACAGGTGGTTTTGCAGATTCTAGCTCTTCCTAGCTAGTGATAAATCCAGTTGTTAGTATCTTTTATGGAGCTGTGTGATGGACCAGGGGGAAAATACAGCAGGATTTGGTTCCTTTCGAAGGCATTTAGTTAATATTTAACTTAAGATATGTGGCAAAACATGCTGGCAGCTGCAGCTTGGCTCCAATATGCTTTCACATCACAATGTTAGACAAAGTTTGTCTCCTGTCTGTGTTTGCGTAGCATCCAGCACACAGCTGTGCAGCAGTTACTCGCTCTATTTTTGGTATGTTTAACAAAAAAAGATCCCAGCAGGTGCAGCTGTGATGTAGGCAGGACTTTGGGTACTGGATATGCTCAGTGCTTATCTACCTGAGAAATATCCTGTACCTAAAAGCTACTATTTGCGGCCACAACAAAATTTAAAAGAAGCCCCCCGCCCTGCAGTATTTCAGACCTCTCCTTACTCCAGTATTACCTATGTTGACATTTAAAACCTCAGTTGTAATGTGCTTCTCAGAAAAAGTTGGAACAAATTTACTGACTGTTTCATACGGTTAAATTTATGGGTTTAACAAAAAAAATCCTATTTCTTGCCAGCTGGACAAAATATAATTTATCTTAATAAATTTCATCTACATTAAGGCTTACAGAAAACCTACATATTTCAGAATCCAAAATATGAGTAATAAATGCTTTAATTGCCCAGTAATTTTAATGCTACTGAAATAAGGCATTACTTTCTCTAGTTAAGATAGCCCTGCTGAAAAATTGCTTTCCAGAAAATTTTATGGGTGTCAAAACTGGCCTAAAATGTGCAGAAAAAAAAAATACTGTTCATCAACTGTAATGGAAGCATACAGTTTATATGGGACAAAACTGCACTATTTTAGTAGATCGAGCAGTCTTAATTTTGAAACATCACAATATTTGAATTAATTTTTTATGTATTTTCTTATTCACCTACACCTAAATATTTGCAGATCCAGCGCAGACATCCACTGCTCAACACTTGTTTGGCCCTTTACCAAACCCAGAGCATTTTGTTCTGTGAGATTTTTTTAGCTTATATATGAGCAAATTTTATTTATGGTATGTACTCTTCTAGTTCTTTTGCCTGGTTTAATGCATTTTAATAACCAAACTGAACTATTCTTCAAAGATTTTCAATGAACAGTTTCATGATGAATTAAGAAAATAATCAAGTTATTTGGAAATTTTCTCTTTCCTGTTCTGATATCCCAGAGGTTGTGTCCTTGCTCCAAGATAATTTTAAATGCACCTTTCACCCAACACCTCAAAACACAATTAATCTACCGAAGTGATACGATTTCTGCCTGTACCACCCAGAAAAATATTATCCCAGCTGGTCCAAGAAAGGGTATAAACAGGTTCTGAATAATTTTAGGATAAAAACTGTAAGACAACTTCAAAGCCCCGTGGATGTGCAAAAGCTGAAGCGAGGGCAAAAAGCCAACACAGAGTTTGATAAACCAGATATTCTCTAGCTGTGGCACATGCAACAGCAATAGGTTGGACTTTTTGACTTAGAAAGTCCCACCCCAGTGCACGATTTCCACAGGATATTAAAAATAGTTAAGGGAGGCTTGTTACTGTAAAGGATAGGAATTATTGCATGATATGTAAGGAAAAGACCTACAGCTAACACACTTGTGGAAAAACACTTGCCTGCTGAAGGAATAAAAGTGCGAATGAAGAAGCATTTATTTTATTAGCTATAAATATCAGTGGCTCCATGAAGAAATGTTTAAAAGCTTGGGCTTTTTATTTAGGAGGGGATAGTTCTGGAAATGGTGTCAAAATGTCCCCCCTCTTGGCTCCCTTTACATCCGCATCCCAAGACAGCTCAGGCTTCAGAAAATAAATCCATAGGCTGAAAAAGCCCACAAGCTATATTTGGCTCTAGCCTAGGTAACGGGGGCATGTTTGTGAATTGAATATTACAGCGTGAAGGAAACCGCAGCTAGGCAGGGTGTCGGGCTGCAGTTGTCACCCATGAATCAGAAGCAAAGCTGCAGGCTCTGGGGGAATCCCAGGGATCAGCCCAGGAAGGAAACACCCCCTCAGTGACTGGTGGGTGGCCGTTTCAGCCACTTGCTTGCCCTTGCATTTATCACAGGGGTTTGGTTTCACCCCTGGGTTAGTATGTCTCTCCAGAGCAATTTTTGGGGTGGGGTTGATCTTCTCCGGCAAAAGGCAAGTGCTTCAGGCATCTCTTTGAGGGTGGGACAAAGCACCCTTAGCTTGGATGAGAGGCTGCCCTTTTAGATACCTCCAGCTTGGTGAAATGCATTGCCCTGCCAGAGGTCCCCACCACCCACCGCCCTTATCCTGACCTAAACATATAAAGAACCATCTCTGCTTCGTGCTGACAAATACTCACAAACCTTGAAGAGTCAGAGAACATCGCTATTAAGGTTAAAACAAACAAAAATGCCTGGCACCTGATTTTATTCACTGAAGAACTGCATCTGCTTAGGTTTGGGGGAAAGGATATGGTTTTAGCGCATTTGCCCATGATGAGTCAAGGGACACTGAACTGGATTTACCTAATACACCCTAAAGGGAAGTGCTGGATACAACTCTTCATTCACATGGCAGCGCATGATCTCAAAAGATTAAACCCTGCCTTCCAGCTTCCCTTTGTGGGAAGGAAAAATCAGAAATTCAGAAGAAAAAGGAAAACTAACCTTGAGCAGGGGCAATGCCAACTCATGGTGCATAAATCTACATGAAGCATTGCCCACCGGCATCCGCAAGCTCTGCTCAGGCTGCGGGCTGGGGGTGTGCTTGCTCCAGAAGCCACAAAGCCATGTCAGCATGGCATGGGACTGACGCAAACCGGTTAAGACACAAGTTCAGTTTAGGCTTGGGTGGACATGGCAGAGTAATCTCACATTTGCCTGGAGAAGACCTTATTCCATGCACCATATCTGCAGTTCCTTTCAGGGAAGCTATGGCTAAAGGG